ATTACCCTGTTAATTTTGTTGTATGTGTATGTTTGTTTTTATATTTAGTAAATATTATTTAGTTTTATTCTTTTCAATGTATACATTTTCATGTCTTTGTAACTATAGCCTGTGCTAATCATGCAAAGTATTTTATCACCTTTGTCTTTGTCCATCATGTTAAAAGTTAGTTTAACCAGCTCAGGCCCATATATCTTTCCTGTTCCTTGTTTAATGGTTTTATTTCCCTACTTAAATACATCTGTCTTATCTCTGTAATTCTCAATCTTTGCTTTTGTTTTTCCTTAAATTACCTTAAATCAAATGTCCATCTATGCACCCCCCCCCATCTCTTAGCCCATCTGACCCTAATATACATCTCTCTCCCACAGTCTGATTTTTAAACATACCCAGTCCAGCATAGAACTCAGAGCTCCATCAGCTGTTCCATGGCCATTTGAAACAGGTAGCCTTCTGGAAGACTGACTTTTCCCTCCCACCCTACCCCTCGCCCACCCACCCCATGGTCATTTTCTCATTTATAGATAGTCTCCCACACAACTTTCAATCTATTGAAATGACAGGTGCAACCACTGATCAGCACACCCTTTCAATCTCTTAACCCTATAGAACACATACCCTCTCTCACTACAAATAGATATCACACACCAAAACCATATACTTCTATTTACATTTTTTTTTCTCACAATTTCTGTTTCATTTTCAACTACACACCTTATACCACTAACATGAATCCTAATATAACCATACTGTTATTCTTAATAACCCTTTTCTCATTTCAATTTTGTTCACACAACTACCAGCATAAGCACACACCTCAAACTGGAACACAAATTATAATACACCATGGCCTGCTCTGTTCCTTTAACTTATCTGCTGAGTGCTGGTGGAGAGTTATAAAAAATAGCCCTCCTACCCCAAACTCACAAAATTATAAATTATCCCATTCACTATATGGCCAAACAAAGATGATGTCCAAATTCCTACTCCTTATGTTACTTGCCCTTGCAAATGATGTGGAGTCTAACCCTGGTCCCCCAGCTAATTCTAGTCCTAATCTCCCCACTAAAAAAGGCCTCTCTTTTGTGCACTGCAACATCCGTAGTTTACTCCCTAAACTGGATGCACTGCAAGCCTGGTGTTCCCATTACAAACCAAAAATCATTGTGCTCTCAGAATCATGGTTAACGACTAAAATACCAGACACCGCCATTGCAATACAGGGTTATTCATGTTTTAGAAATGACAGAGCAAAGAGAGGAGGAGGCATTGTTATTTATGTTGACAATTCCATAAAGTTTACCCCTTTACAAAACCTTAGTCCTCCTGCCATCTTTGATTTCCTTTCTGGCACAATTGAGATCCCGTGCAGTAAATCCATCATTGTTGCAGGAATCTACCGCCCACCTAGCTCTCCTGTGCATTCCCTTTCTGACATAGCCCATCTCCTTAGTGAAACCATAGCTCAAAACCCAAAAAGTGAACTGTTGGTCTTTGGAAATTTTAATATTGATTGGCTGAACCCTAAAAATAATAGTTCTTGCACGCTGTTTAAGACTTTGCAGCTAACGCAATTAATCTCCTCCCCAACTCGCATAAACATTAAAAGCCATAAACATACCCTGCTAGATTGGATTCTCTCCACTTCTCCTGATAGAATCCAGGAGGTTGGTGTTCTCCCCAACACGTTCAGTGATCACTGTTTAGTGTACTGCGTGCGCAAAATAAAGGCTATTAAATCCTCCCCCAAGGTTAAAATAACTAGGTCCTTCAAAAAATTTAATCTTGAATCCTTTTTAAATGACATCAAGAATCTCTCATGGCACAGATTAAACATTATCCCAGATCTAGACTGTGCTGTTGAATACTTTCAGTCTGAACTCCTTCAAATCTGGAATTTGCATGCCCCACTGCGTAAGGTGAGGGTAAAAGGAGCGCATATGAACTGGATCACAGCTGACCTCATCCAAATGTACCAGTTTCGGGATTCTTTGTGGTCAAAGTTTTAGCGTACTGGCTCTATGAATGATCACGGTGCATATAGACAATGGCGAAATATATGCACAAAACAGACAAAACTGGCCAAGGCCCAATATTTCTATGAAAATCTGAACAGTAACATCTCAAACCCTAGAAACTTTTGGAAAGTCATAAATAAACTACAAACTCCCCCAATCCACTCCCAACCCTCCACTGTCAAAGTGGGTAACCAAACCCTGCAACTTCCTTTAGATGTTGCAAATGCCTTTAACAATTATTTTGTTGGATGCTCTACTGCCCTGATTGACAAGCTAATAAATGACACGCATCCTGAAACTACAAATGTGGATCAGGCCCCACTAAATTTGCAAAGGCCCAATATAGATAAGTTTAATTTTAGACCTGTACCTGTTAGTGTCATTAAAAAACATCTTAATAATCTAAAAATGAAAAACCAGTCCGGACCTGATCAAATCCCAGCAATACTGTTGAAGCTCAGTGCACCGGCAATTGCTAAACCCGTCTCAACTCTAATTAACGAATCCTTGGTGTCTGGATACATACCCAAACTTTGGAAGACTGCGAGAGTAGTGCCTATCCATAAAAGTGGTGACACTACTTTGGTTTCTAACTATCGCCCAATATCATTGCTCCCAGTATTGTCAAAAATCTTAGAAAAATGTGTCCATGCGCAACTATGTGAGTACTACCAACAATTAAACTATCTGACCCTGATCAATCGGGCTTTTGCCAGAATCACTCCACTACAACTGCCCTCTTAAAAGTTTGCAATGACATCCAAACTGGCATGGAACAAGGAGCCCTAACTGGAGCTATTTTCCTTGATTTTGCTAAGGCCTTTGACACAATAGACCACGACATTCTACTGCACAAACTCGAAAACTCAGGTATTGGTGATCATTCTTTAAACTGGTTTCAATCGTATGTATCGGATCGCTCCCAATATGTGTCCATTTCTGACAGTGACTCCCTCCCTCTCCCAGTCACGTGTGGTGTTCCCCAGGGTTCCATTCTCGGCCCCCTACTATTTACATTATTTATAAATGATCTGCCTTATGCCTGCCAATCCTCAAATGTACACATGTACGCAGATGACACGGTAATCTATGCGAGCAAACCCAATCTACCGCAACTTGAGGCTTTGCTCCAAGACCAGTTTACAGAGGTAGAAAAGTGGATCGCAAAAAAACAAACTCTTCCTGAACACTGACAAAACTGTCACAATGATCTTTGGAACAGTACCTAAATTACACAATTCCCACCTATCCATCAAAACAAATTCAAATGGCACACTGACAGCAGTCCACTCTTTCAAATACTTGGGTATGATATTAGACCCCAATCTATCTTTTGGCCTGCACATAGAAAAGCTTGCATCTAAACTTTATCCAAAATTAGGTGCCCTGTACAGAAACAAAGCCTGCCTAAGCCCTACAGTAAAGGGAAAGATTGTACAGCAAATGCTGATGCCAATCATTGATTATGGGGATGTAGTATATGCGTCTGCATGGCGATCCCACATTAATAAACTCAACACATTGTATAACTCGTTCTGCCGATTTGTGCTACAATGTAATTACAGGACCCATCATTGTGACATGCTAAAGGAACTAAACTGGCTGTCGCTGGAATCCAGACGCACCCTTCATCTTTCCAGCCTTGTTTTTAAGAGCTTCTCTGGGAAACTCCCACCCTACCTGAACAAAATGCTTTCCTTAGCTGTTCCCACTTTCTATAAGCTCCGATCCAGTACAAGCACTTTACTTAGTCTATACAATACAAAACAAAAAGAAAGTGGCCCGATCCTCCTTCTCCTACAGAGCGCCGCAATTGTGGAACGACCTCCCGCACAATTTAAAATCTTCTCTAAGCCTAAAGTCATTTAAGAGATCCCTCTCTATATACCTCAAAACAGAATGCACGTGTCATGGTTGATTATATATTTCCTGCCTGTTCTATGTTAAATTTTGTATATATTGTGTATTAATATTGTTTTGTATTTTGTTGTACCTAATGTAACAATGCAATGATTTGTGGACCCAGGACATACTTGAAAACGAGAGAAATCTCAATGTATCTTTCCTGGTAAAATATTTTATAAATAAATAAATAAATAAATAAATAAATAGTCAGTTGATATATGTGCTACAGAATAAACTATTAATGTGTCATGTTGACTAAACTAGGTGATAATATATTTCCATCTAATTGATAAGAATGTGACTGCTTAATTTGCAGGGCTTGCTTATTTACATACTACATTTGCTTATTACACAGGTTTGAAAGCACAACACAAAATCACTACCTAGCTAACAGTTACCACAAAGTGTAGAAATAAAAAGATGTGCTGAATAAACATTGTATACCACTGTGAAATGTTAAAATATTGACACTCTTTCTTGAGGATAATCAGATTTTTGTTATCAACAAAACTCCTGTGACTGAAAATGTATGGATATGTTTTTTAAAGGGAAACTCCAGTGCCAGGAAAACAATCCATTTTTCTGGCACTGCAGGTTCCCTCTCCCTCCCACCCCCCAATCTCCGGTTGCTGAAGGGGTAAAAACCCCTTCAGTAACTTACCTGAGGCAGTGACGATGTCCCTCGTCGCTGATTCTTCCTCCACCCCACTCCTCCTTCAGACTGCGTCGGCCGGTGGGCGAGACTGATCCTGCCCACCGGCCGGGGAGACCTAATGCGCATGCGCGGCAATGCCGCATTAGCGCTCCCCATAGGAAAGCATTGAAAATGCATTTCAAGGCTTTCCTATGGGGAAATGAGCGACGCTGGAGGTCCTCACACAGCGTGAGGAAGTCCAGCGATGCTCTAGCACAGGTTTCCTGCAATAATTACACTTGTAGGGTTAAGAGTAGTGGGAGTTGGCACCCAGACCACTCCAATGGGCAGAAGTGGTCTGGGTGCCTGGAGTGTCCCTTTAAGTAAGGATGATTAAACATACAAATTTTTTTAGGGGTATTATTATTACTGTTGTGCTGCAATATCCTGTAGGTCCCCATTGTGCTGGCAAAACAGCTATGATATGTCAAGGCATGGAATGCACAAGATCACGGAATACGTCCTGTAGTATCGGGTACCATTAGTAGCAGATCTTTTAAGTCCAGCAAGTTGCACAGTGGGGTCTCCATGGATCGATTTTGTTGTTTTAGCACATGCCACAGATGCACAATTAGATTGAGATCTGAAGAATTTGGAGGCCAAAGCAATATTTTGAGCAACACCCATTTCACAGTGGGTTTGAGGCATTGTGACTTGTAGACATTTCAGGTCCATGTCTAACTATCAGATTATCAAGTGTTGGCAAATATGCCTGATTACAATTTAGATGAGGCAACTACAGTCTGTCATCGGTCCTCCACCATATTTCACAGTGGGTGTGAGGCAATATGACTTGTACACATCTCAGGTCGTTGTCTAACCATCAGATTACCAATTGTTTGGCAAAGCTGAAAATTTGACCCATCAGAGAACATGACCTTTCTCCAGTCCCCTATGTTTGTTATGGTAGTTTGCAAACCTCAGCCTTTCATTGCTTCTCTTTGCTAAAGGTTTTTTTCTACCATTGCAAGACTTCAGCAATGTCCTTAGCCCGTTTTGATCCATCCTCACGTTGCACTCCACCCCAGCTGCCACTTGCCATTTTTTTTGTAGGACACATGATGGCATCATAGTGTTGTTGATTGACATTCTAATAGGTCATCCTGGTACTGGGGATCTATTTTACTCACTGCTAGTACTTTTGTTGTCCCAATTATCTGCGGTTTGACCTTGTTCTTATAAACCATTGTCTTTAAAATTGTAAGAATGGAAGCAACTTGATGCTCACTGTATTCCTCTGCCAGGAAAGTCAGAATGCAATACTTTTCTCACACACTTTCTTTTCAGCTCTCTTGGCATGTTCAATAGTTTTGATTTTTTTATTTCAAGTACATGTGAGGTACTACTAGTTTTTCCCACCCAGCTGGTCCTGTTGCAAGAAAATAGTCTCATTAAATAAGATTTGGTTAAAGGGACACTTTAGGTACCCAAACCACTTCAGCTAATTGAAGTAGTCTGAGTGCTGTGACCCTTTTGCATAGCACCCAGCTTACTTAAGGGACATCTTGGTCCACAGTGACCAGTTGCATCAACTTTCCAAGTTAGTGATCAATACTGGTTGCTAAAGATGCCTTGGATGTCTGCCATTTTTGGACTTTGGAACACAAGCATGATTTCCTTTCCGATAGATGGATGTGATGCGTGCGGAAATGAAAGTGAGTGAGACACCTTTTGTATGGTAACTCTGTTTTATACTAAGTGGTTTTCTTGTTTACTTTATTCAGGTTTTGTCATCTTACCTGATATTTTTGTATTTTTTGGCCTCCAGTGATATATTACTCAAGTCAACTGATATTTTTATTGTTGATAGTCTGTTTGGCTACATCATGACCTTATTACCTGTGTTCTTATTTTCTATGTTCTTTTGCTGGATTTTGATTCTTATGTGTAATTGTTTCTGATCACAAGATAACAGTATCAGTATGTGTAATTTTTATTACAGGAGTTCAATTTGTTTCCATTGCATTCATGCTCAGGTTTAAATTTTGTTTATTTTTTACTAGTGTTCACCTCTGGGCATCTCAATATATGTGATGTGTCTTAAGGCACTGTAACGGATCACCTGGCAACCCGACTGGCTACCTCCGCCAAAGGACCACTTCATAGCTGGAACAGGGGACAAACTGCTGCACTTCTTACCTTCAGTCGCCGTAGCTTGAGTGGGGCCCTGGAACTGCCACCTCCTTCCTGGATCCGAAGGGAAAATTAGCTCTGACACCTCCAGGCACTGAATGACACTCAGTCCTAGGAACTCTGGAACCGAATGGGGAATTATCTCTAGTCCTTACAAGGACTTTCCCAGTTGAATCATCTGCAAGCTGGAACAGCAGACACAAGAGCAAATCTTCTTTCCCTCCAATAACTGGAAGACACACAGTTTTGGAGTGTAAGCAGGAATCTCAAGTTTAATGGGACACCCTGGCCTTTTATAAAATTTTCCAGGCCAGGGGAACACCCCCTGAACCTGATGGGGCACAGGAACACAAAGGACATAAACCAATCAGAACAAACATACAGTCTGTGACACGCCCATGTACAGCACACAATCCCTCCCCTCTGCTTAGGAGATAATTGAGCAAAGTCCTGTAAGTAACTCAATTATCTCCAGGCAGAAAAAACAAATTTTTACAAAGTTCATAAAGTACCCCAAAATCCAACATATCCCCATAAAAGTCATGATTCAGGGGTTCAGGAATAAACTGGAAGTCATAATTTTGACTGACCTCAAGCATGGCTCCATGCCCAAAATAGTTCCAGGGAAATCAATGCTAGCAGTCAGTCAAGTTTGGTAGTCTTTCACAGGTTTCCCTCCAGAGCCCATAGTCTTTGGGCAGGAGCCTGGCAAGCAAGCTCCTGCAGGAGCTCATGGCAAACTCACTTGAAAATGGTAGTTTGTCACACATCTCCCCTCTCCCAGGGAGACCATCCAGACCCCAGAGACCAAAAGGTGTATGGCCTCCTGCCACAAGTGCCCATTTGTAGATCCAGTGTCCTGCGTGTTAACAACCTGGATGCCCTCCCCTTGGTTGGAAAAAGTTGTTGCTGGGGATGGCGGGTGCAGTCTCCCTCCTTCGTGCCGGGTGGGTAGAGACCAGCAGCTCTCTGCCCCAAGCATGCGGTTCAGCTGGGTTGGTTGGTGGGTCATCAGGCCACAGAGCAAAGGGGTAGGAAGGGCAGAGGCCAGCTGCGCTCTGCCCAGATGCCAGCTCTTCTGCTGGGAGGAGGTCAGTAGAGGCCGTAGTTCGCTCTCCTGCACTTGGACCATAGTTGGGAATGGGCAGTTGGGGATCTGGGTAGGCTGCCCAGCATCCCTGTAGGGCTCTGGACAATTGCCCCAGCCGCTGAGGAGTGAGACCGACTGTCTCTTCTCCCAATAACACATGCTGCCACTGGGAAGGAAGGATGACACACTTCTCTCCCTGTGTACTCTGCCACTGGGGAGTGAGACCGGTCATCTCCACTCCGTGTAACACACTCGGCTGCTGGGGAGAGTGCCCGACTGTCTCTACACCCTGTATCTCTGTCTGCCACTGGGGAGAGAGACCAACCGTCTCCTCTCCCAATAATATCGATAAGATCTCTCATCTCTGGGGCTGGTTGGGAAGTATGTGGTACAGTACCCAGGTATCCTGATGACAGGATTAGTTGCTGGGGAGGAGGGACAAAACTCAATGCACCCGGTGGTGTACAGTCCATAAGCCCCATTATGTTAGAGACAGGTGGTGTTACTCATTTAAATAGAGAGCTCGAGCTCCCAATCCAGGTTAGCCAGAAAGGTCAGATCCGGTTGCATTTCCGCTATCTCCATAAGGCCCAACCTGTCCTCCCGCTCATCTCTTATGCACCAGAAGCGGGAACTGTCTGGGTTTCCTTAAACTATACTTTCTTCAAAAACCTCCCACAAAAGACCAGGGCCATCGTAGTCTTCTCCCTCGATGCATTTGAGACTGACCTGCCCCGGGTAGATAAAGTATTCATGCCACCGCATGGCCTGTTATGACTCATCTAGCCACACCTTGGTCGCAACAAGCATTTCCAGTTTGCTTACCCATTCCTCTGAGGGCTAGTTTCCCAATAACGGCATCCACAGCTCTAGCTGTTCCGCTTGGTGCTGGTTAGTGGTCAGTATTTCCTCACACCGGAAGGGTCGAATTTCGTCGATGTCCTCCTTCCAGAGATCGGTTCGAAATGCCACCCTCCACTCTGTCTCTCTTTCCTCTGGGATAGGGTACTCCATACTGCACAGCACATCCTGTAGTCGCTGCTGGAGTCTGGCGTCAAACTGAGATACTGCCCGACGGTACTTGTCTTCCATCTCTGTAGTAGTGCTGGTTTTCCCAAGGCTAGGAAGCCCCCTCGCCACTTGTAATGGATCATCTTGCACCTTCATGATGTTTCGGCTCATGCTTGGGGGATTGGAGAACTACACTCTGGGGGATTGCTATACTCACTATACTCCCCTGAGTATGATCACTAAGCTCTTGTAAGAGCTTGTTCCTGTTATGCTGTCTGGACTAAGAGAGGTTTACCCACTGGAGGCTTGATCCTGGTCATAGGTCCAGGGTGGGTAGGAGACGGCGAGATCCCAGCTAAGCTGCGGCGGTTCGTGGGGTTTATGGTGGTTATGGTGTTCCGGTGCAGTGCTGATGGTACTCGCAAGTACTAGGAAGCAGCGATTGACGGAGGTACTAGGTCGGAGTGCAAGGCGGTCCGTCACATGCACCATGCAGCTTTTCTAATCTCTTGGTGTGTTTGGCTTATAGTGATAGTTGTGCTTGATGGGTTTGGAGACTTGGCCCTGCTCATCCCTATTTGATTTTTGTACCTTTGTATGTTTCAAGCCTCTTTTTAAGATCACCTCATTGTTCTGGTTTTTACAGCTACTCTTGGAGCCCTATTTAAGTGTTCTTTTTCTTTTGCACTGTTCATGATAAAAGTCACAGTAAAGGTCTGAAATATTGATATTTTGTTTGCATATATCTGCTTGATGAACTAAAGCAGTATTTATCACTTTGTGAAGTTTGTATACACTGAAAGTCGATAGCATTAAAACCACCTTCTTAATATCGTGTAGGTCTGGCTCATGCTGCCAAAACATCTCTGATGCATAGAGGCATGGACTCCACAAAACCTCTGAACATGTCCTGTTGTATATTGCACCAAGACAGCGGCAGGTACTTTAAGTTCTGAAAGTTGCAAGATGAGACCTCCATGGGATGGATATTTTGTTCCAGCACATCCTACAGATGCTCAATTGGATTGAGACCTTTGGAATTTTGAGACTAAGAAAAAACCTTGAACTCTTTCTCTTTTTTTTCAGTGTGGCAGGATGATTATGATTATCTTGCTGAAAGAGGCCACTGCCATCATGGAACACCATTGCCCTGAAGTGGTGTACTGGTCTGCAACAATCTCTAAGTAGATGGCACATGGCAAAGTAACATCCACATGAATGCCAGGATACAAGTTTTCCCAGTAGAACATTGCCCAAAACAGAACACTGATTTTGCAGGAATGCCTTCTTTTCATGTGCAACCGGCTGCCATCTCTTTCCCATGTAAATAATACTCAATCAATCAAATGAGGTATCTCTGGTCCCATTAACACTAAAAGTATCAGGATCTGAGTCTTTTTAGAGTTGTATTGACAATGGCCTGTCAGGCAAGTCCTGCATAACTGTATGGGAAACTGAAATGTCTTGTCAGTTAAGTCCTGCATACCTGAATGGGAAACAGGAAGATCTCAGCAGGCAAATCTAAAATGAGGCGGTTAAAAACAATAAAAAACATGAATTACTACCAAGCAGTTTGCAAAAATGAACACCACCAGATATGAACATTTTGGGTGCTTCAGAAAGTAATGTTTAATTGTATGTTTTATTCCAGTATTCATAGTTAGCACATTATTTAATACCAAAAAATATACCAGAAAATATTTTAAAAACATATACCAAATAATTAAGCTAATAAAACAATATTGTAAATAAATAAATAACAATATTATCCTATATGCACTCCATATATACGGTATATGTTGCCACATTACCTTAGCATTGTCTATTCTATATCATCAGGGCCAACCCTCATAAGCCTGTACAGTAAGCATGTCATACTCAAAGTCTAGCACGGGCCACATAAACAAGGTTTAAGTTTATGTGGGCCACAAAAAAAAAAAAAACACCTTAAATTTTCATTGAAATGTATGTTTATTTTGAAAAGTACAGCATATAAAAAAAAACAGCATTCCCCTCTACTAAACCACAGCACCCTCCTCTACTAAATCCCACACCCCCCCTCTACTAAACCACAGCACCCCCCTCTAATAAATCCCAGTCCCCCCTCTACTAAATCCCAGCACCACCCTCTAGCCAACATGCATACTCCACTCACATTGCCGCTGCCAGTATGCGACGGAGTCTGGCCTCTGGTATACTCCAAATGGCGCCGTCCACACCCTGTGCCAAATATGATCCTCCCACTACTTCTTGTAACCCCGTGAAGGTGGAGCACGTCGATGTCACGTTAGAATGTGACGTGGAGTTGCGTGCCTCCATGCACCTCCCAGGTACTCTATTGTCCAGTCGCAGCCAATGCAACACTGACCAACACACACACTGACACACACACAGTTACTGAAAGACACACTCACTCACTGACAGACACACACACACACACTCACAGACGTCATATTCCGGCGCCCAGCTTTAATACAGATGGAGTGCACAAGGGAGCAGTGAGGAGCAGGAACACTGAGCTCCCTTGCTGGCCCTCCTCCCTGCCCGGATAAGTTTTAGCAGAGTAGGCACCTGCTTTCCCAACATTGCAGGTGACACTAAGCATGTACTCGCGGCTCACCGGGCCACAAAGATGCCCATTGTGGGCAGCATGCGGTCTGCGGCCCGCAAGTTTGACATGCTTGCTGTACAGGATGATGCCTGTAACGGAGCTCCAGTACTCCGACCGAGTACCTCCGCCAAGTCTGCTTCCTTGTAGCTATCAGGTACCCTGAAACACTACAGACCCAGACGCCGAGGCTTGATTGGGATCACTTAGGGCCTTTTCCACCCTGGACCAAACACCAGATGACACATGGTGAAGGTTAAACAGCAACTCTTTAATGAATACAGCACACATAGTTTAAGCCCCCAACAGCCTCATTTACATACAATAGGTTACATAGATTACTATAGTACCAGGAAGGGTGGGGTCAGATAATAGCAAGGGCTAATGGGAGATTGAGGAGGGACAGAGCAGCAAGTTTAAACTGGTCTGGCACTGTCCCAGGGACAACGCCTTGCTGGGGAAATAATAGGACAGGAAAAAGGGGGGAGGGGGAGATGCACAGACCAGCAATACATTCAACATACCCTGCACAAATAATAGGCACAGTGTGACAAAACACAAAAGGAATATGGGAGCCCACCCATAGTGTCTGTCTTCCATCCCCAGTGATGGTGACTAGCGTCACAATGCCTTAGGACACACTGGCCTGGGGGTGCAATATACAGGTGATATCCTGGATAGAAAGTAAAGAAGATTCTCTAACGCAGTCCACAAGGCCATGCCACCATTGGTAAAATATTCACAACTCTGGTTCCAGGCTGGCTATTGATGCCCCAAATATGTGACTGGAGGTAGTCATGGTGCTTGGAGTATCCCTTCAGGAATTAAAAAAGAATAGAACAGTTAATAAAAAAAAAAATAGAAAAAGTGAAAAAACAACAACTAACTTTTACACAAATTTGATTATAATGATTTTGACTAAAATGCAACTAAAGCAAATAATTTAAAAATAGATTAATTTATTAATGCTGATTAATTTATTAATGCTTATTGTTAAAATTCCCTATATGTCTAGAATGTCAATTAATCTTTTGAAGTTATATTATTCTCAGAAGAACAGTGGCCAATGGATCTGAGACTTAACCACTATAGTACAGTATGCACTAAATCCCAAGAAACAAATTGTAAAATACTTTCTTTCTGGTATCGCACGCCAGCTAAACTGCATACAAATTTACCCACACAATCACCATTATACACAAAAATAAGTCCTGCCCTCAAACTCCCACTGCTACTGGGCATCAGCAACAACCACAGCACACACCAGCCCCAATACATACAATTAAAAAACAAAAACAAAAAAACTAAGAAAAAACTTAATAAAAAAAAAAAGAAACCAAAATAGACCGGGACTTACCGGCTAAGCAGATAAGAAAACACACCCCAACGCCAGCCGCACTCTCGACCCGCACGGACTCTCTACCCCTTCCTCGGTGACCCCACCGCTTCGAGAGGGTACTAGATTACACATCAACACAAGTTCGATAACTGGTAGCCATTATAGTCTAACGCACACTGTTCACCATTGTACTACCATGTTTTTAAACGTACCCTGCGTTGGTACAAACCTGTCTGAATGGAACTGTTGTACCCCCCCCCCCTTTTTATTTTCTGTACCCCTTCCCTTGATTACTGATACCAACACAAAACCAATAAATAAAGAATGATAAAAAAAAAAAAAAGAAACAACTCTACATAATTAACTCTTACCAAACCTTCACCTTGCACCTAATATGTTTGAGTTCCTGGAGTGCCTCTTCAATAGAAATGAAACATATGTTGTTGCAAGCAGTGAATGCAATAAAATGCCTATCAACACACTACCATAATATATCCGATGAAGCTATTACACTGACAGTTGAAGTGTTGTTTTGAATAAACATAATTACTATACTCTTTAGAACCCAGAATTTACAGAAAATGCTATTTCTGCCTTCTTTCTTTCTGCATGACACCATCTAAAATCAGTGCTTTGAAGATCTTTTTTGGTGAATGTTAAACTTCATTGCCTCGGAGCAATAACATTGTGTGAAATAGATTATCCCTGTTACTTGTGACTCTGATTACTTTCACTGTCTGCAGAAAATTAATAATTTGGTGATTGCCTGAAGAAAAGTTCTCATAACTTTTCAGTATTGTGTTTTGAATAAAGGTGTCTAAAAGGAATAGATACTCTGAGACAAATACAGTTTGTTGTGTGACAGGAAACATTAAAAAGGTACACTGTTCTACTTGCTAATAAAAATAAAGGTATCTATTTCCTGAGGAAAATACAACCCTTTCCTTCAAGCAAATCAAGATGCATCAAACATACATGTAACTGAGATCAGGTTCTAGTCTAGTGTTTCTCTTTGCATTGTTGAGAGAGAAATTGTTTAGAAAATAAGAATATCATTATCCTTTGAAAAATGCACTCTACTTTAATCAAGTGCAGATTTCCTCTTGTGTAGAGCAGTGGGAACCTGGCCAGTAT